CTGGCGGCCAGTCTTAATTTGTTTAGCTAGAAGCATTTGCTGAAAAAGCCGGTGCCGGCAGCAACAGAAACTGCGGGGAACTATGCAAAAAACGCATCTTCGCATGGGCAGCCCGTGCGTTGGCCAATTACTGCAATTTACAAATATGCAAAAACGCACAAAATCTGGATGAAACAGGAATGTTTCGGCATTCCTGATTCTTTCAATGAGCGAATGTTACTGGATTCACTAGAAGCATGCAAGCTTTTACTCTGCCAGCAGCAAGCCATCATAAAATTACGAGAATTCTTACAACAACCGCATCAGTGACTAAAAGTTAAGCAGTGCGCATCAGCATGCACTGTAAAAGCACGACCGAGAACAGATTCGCGAGCACAATTATGCACTACGCATAACATAAATCGGAGAAACATCGAGTGCTCCACAAAGTGCCACGAAAATTTTCCGATCCATTGGGATTTCGTGTGCTATTTGGCTGATAAGTTTTCAGCTTACTCCGCTTTGCCGTCACGAAAAGTTCAAAGTTGTCTGATACTGTGAGTTCCAAAGAAGAGTGGCTTAAACGCCGTTTGGTTCGAATTGGTGACCCAGTAAACAAAAACAATCTCGAAATCCTTGTCTGCCTAATCGTGTAATCATACCTCAGTTTACTGCTGGCATTGGGTTTCATGGCATCTCAGAACACAGGCCAATCAAGCGGTTTGTCAGCTAGCCTTCCTGTCAGAGCAAATGGGGGCTTACAGTGAACTGAAAAAGAAAAACAACATAATCTAATGATAGGTTTTCAGTCATTTACTTGGCAATTTGTGGTAAATCAAAGTGATTAATTTCCAAAACTACAGTGCCCCTTCTCGCAAAACTGCAAGAAATGCCTTTCAAATTTAGTTTTAGCCACTAAAAAACAAAAAGGAAAATTTGATTTCGAGTTTGTAGTCCGTACAAAGCTGGAACAATGTCCTCAAAATTACAACTTTCCAGCTTTTACAAGTTGAGTTACAAACATACGCTTACA